TTATAAGTTTAAGGTCCCTGGATGATTGACCGTCATTTTTGGAATAAGACTAGAATAACCAACATCTATGTAATATATTAGCTCGATCAACCTTAATTTTTGAAGACTTTCTTTTGACACAGACCTGGACGAATGTGATGGAAACCCGTGCACACATGGACGCTGTGTGAACAAAGATGGCGGATACACATGTACCTGCTCACCTGGATGGACTGGACAGAACTGTCAGCAAGGTGCCTGATCATGAGTTCTTTTTGTGTCAAAACTTTATTTTCTGTACTAGTCTTAGGTCCCTGGCTGTTATACTATCATTTTTGGAGTAAGGCTAGAATGACCAACATCCATGTACTGTAGTTGCTTATTTGCTCGATCTAGCTCATCTTTGAAGACTTATTTCTTTTGACGCAGACCTGAATGAATGTGATGGAAACCCATGTGGACATGGACGCTGTGTGAACAAAGATGGCGGATACAAATGTACCTGCAACCCTGGATGGACTGGACAGAACTGTCAGCAAGGTGAGCGTTTAATTAGTGTTAGTCATATATGCCAGGACTCTTTATCACTTTCTTGAAACATGGACCTTTACACTGTGTAGCTACTGATTTGCTATAAGATGGTGTTTGGCTTTTTAAGCTGCAGGAGTCACATGATCCTCTTTATCACACAGACCTGAATGAATGTGATGGAAACCCGTGCACACATGGACGCTGTGTGAACAAAGATGGCGGATACAAATGTAACTGCAACCCTGGATGGACTGGACAGAACTGTCTGCAAGGTGAGTTTTCATCTTATGTGCTGGAATAACAATAATAAAGTTTAGCGCATTGAGAATCCTGCAAGAGCAGTTTTTGATACTGCTTAAACTGAATAAAGATCCCATTAAACCATTCGTTTATGTTACAGCCAAACTATGTCCTACAGGGTGGAGTGGATATGAGAACCACTGCTACAAGTTGATGAGAGACAGAGCTGAATGGGAAAAAGCAAATTTACAGTGTGAACGACTCGGTGCAAATCTGGCTTCTATCACAAGCCGTGACGAGGCCAACTTCATCAACGGTATCATTACTGGCGGTGGGTGATGCAATTTCTTTATCACATTATATGTTTAGTTCAGTTGATTTTATGTACTTTTGAGTTTACTCTGTGCACTTTTGACTTTGTATGTAACAATTATGTTATGTACAACGTTGTTTTAAGTTCTTTAGTTGATGTCTCTAGTTTGACCTTTGATTTGGCCTTGGATTTATGTTTCTATGATTTTGTACTTATGTTATTCATTCATTCATTCATTCATTCATTCATTCATTCATTCATTCATTCATTCATTCATTCATTCATTCATTCATTCATTCATTCATTCATTCAGCTCCTGTAGGGAAGTGGGGTGTTCATCTCGTCTGGTTTGGACTGCATCGCAAAGACGGATTCCGTACGTTTACGGATGGGTCACAGGTCACCTACACAAACTGGCAGAAGGGTCAGCCCAACAACAACCGCCATCTCTTCAGCTTGGATAAGCCACAGGACTGCGTCGGCATGTACTCAAAGGTGTGTGCTCGACTTTGCTGAGATTGTAAGTTCCCTTTGCTGTTAGTCAAAAAGATGATGGCAAATCTAAGATGCCAGTACAATGATGTGAATCTTTATTGCATGTTCTTGCCCAGATGGGCTGAATGCACAAGAGGATACGCAGTATGCGAAACATGAGCATTGCATACTGGAACGCTATATTCTAATGCTAATTGCTAGGAATCTATACATTGCGACAGTACTATATACTACCTATCATCTATTGTTAGTTACCCTTTACAATGTAAAGGAGTCTTGAATGGCGACTACAACAGGATTTTGAACTACGTATACGTACGTATAGCCTAAGATAATTGAAAAACTGAACAATAGTACAATCATTCTACGCTTTTGCGTGAAGCATCGGGCATTGGGGAGGCGTCGACACCGGTAAGAAAGTCGCATACAAAAAGAAAGTGAAAGTGATCTCGAATCAGTTTAGCTCACTGAAGAGCTAATCTCCCACTGGTCGTGACAGAGAAGACAGACGCTATGTACAATATTTACAGGTTCATTGTACCGGGGAAATTCCCCTAGCTCTTTTCGACAAGCGCAATGAACAGTGGACCACGGCTTAACGTCCCGTCCTAAGGACTGCGACCCTAAACATTAGCGTGCATGTCGGGTGAGCAACAACAGCCGGGATTCGAACTCCCAACCTCTTAGTCCAAAGGCAGGATCGCTAATCACTGGACTACGCACGCTACTGGACTATGCACCACTTAATATTGTTGTTCTCCCTTCAACAGAAGGGCTCTGCCGGCCACTTTTTCCTGTTTTCATGCGTGGAAAAGGGACAGTGGAATGATGACCAGTGCTACCGTCCCTATCCCTTCATCTGCAAGCGTCCGAAGTGACGGAATACTTCGTTATTACCATGTGAGATTTTGCATCTCCAAGCAAGATAGGGCGTGTCCCTAAGGCGCCACTGTACTAAATCGCCGGTCATCTGTTTGTAATAGTAGGACACAGGAGCCAAAAGTGTATTTTTGGTCTGAAAATAGCAAAAAACCAAAGTACCATTAAGGTAACTTCAACACATACTTTTGCTGGTAAACTAGAGCAAACTCGACGACACACATTAAATTTAAAGGTCTTCATTTATTCATTAATTCATTAAATTTGAAAGCACATTCAGCAAAAGAGGTGTACAGGTAAGAGGTGTGTATCACCTAGTACAGTGGACGTAAAGCATTCAGAATGTTTACAGTAACAAAACTAAAAAAAAATCATATTGTGCTGTTTGTATCTCATACTATTTTGTAAAAGACTTTCAAAGATACCTGCGTGCCTTCATGTCAGTAAATATCTCTAAACATTCCATGAGCAGCTGGTCAACTTGAATAACACTGTAATGGGAAGATTGTTGTAGTGTTCTAGGATTTGAAAGCCAAAGTAAAAAATGTTAACAGTAGGAAAATAAAAACTACTGACAAATAAAAGTATAGTAGTTTCCTGTTTTCGTAAACAGGGCTACACACTCATTTCACGTCATCTAAAAAAAACTAGTTGTCGCTGCTATGACTGTTCTTGTGTAAGGCCATGTTGATTTGATTATATGGATGACATCCGCGCGCGCATGAATTTTCGGCCGTTTCCAAAAAAAAAGAAGGTTTCAACCATACGGTAAATCGTAAAAACAGTTACAAAATGAGCAAAAATATACCGTAAGTTACACAAAAATAATAAATAAAAACTATACCAATGTCGTAGAATGCCAAAATCAAACGAAAAAAGACGAAAATTTAAAGAAATGAACTTGAAGAGTAGATTATTCGCCAAACCATATTCTGTCCTATTTGTTCAACCCGCATGAGCACGTAGATTTCATAATGGAAACAACTTTTTTTTTTGCAAAGCTTTTTTTTATTCGCACGCGCGCATCAGTTTTGGGGTTCCCGGAGGATGCCATCCATGTAATCAAATCAACATGGCCTAAGTAAATGCTAGTAACATCGTGTCAACAATCATTACATGATTAAGTTTTGGTTAACTGAATGCCGTTGCAAGGCAGGAATGGTTGTATTAACAAGCGCAAGAAAGGTTATATCGATTAGTACTTATCTTACTTTACTTTAAAATTGTATTTGTAGAGAACATGGTAGTATGCGATGGAGAAACCAAAATGTACTTGCATTTTTGTGTTTGTTTTATAGTCGTGCAATATGCTATATTATACATTTGATCAGGTGGCAATGGAATTATTACTTATCTCACTTAACTTTCAAATTGTATTTGTAGAGAACATGTAGTATGCGATGGAGAAACCAAAATGTATTTGCATTTGTTTTATAGTCATGCGATATGCTATATTATGCATTTGATGAGGTGGCAATGGATTTTTTAAAAGAATCACCATGAGCAGCCATATTCAATGCCGGGCAACCATAGGACAATCATCATTTATTTGTTCAGAAATTGTAACATGACAATATAAAGTGTGCACTAGGCAGCAAGTATGCGTGTGTGTGTGTGTGTGTGTGTGTGTGTGTGTGTGTGTGTGTGTGTGTGCGTGCGTGCGTGCGCGCGTGTGTGTGTGTGTGTGTGTGTGTGTGGCAGCAAAGTGTAACTCATGTTTTAAAACGTCATGACAACGCTATAAGAATGTGGGTGTAATAGGGCAATTCTATGTGGCTCAACAAAGAGAAAAAAGGAGGATTGTATGTTCATATAGACAATACAAAAAGGAAACAAGACTTCATTGTGCATGGTTGTCTATTTATCGCCTTTGCTACACAAAGAAATACATATTGAAAAGCAGAAAAAATGTATATTCAGAAAATTCCCAATAATGCCAAAGTTATACATCACAAACATACCAATCGGCATGGCATTGATATTACAGTCCAGTATGGTTACATTTGCTTAGTTTTGGTCATCATTTAACTCTTCTGTACAGTAGTGTAACGTTTTACCCATTCTTAACCATTGTCACAATCAGCGGCGATTTTACATTGTAATTTACATTGACATTTATCTTTCTTGATACAGTCGCGAAATGTTAAGATATGATTTCATTTTTTAAATGATCTTGTACAGCATTGCTGTAAATTTGGAGAAATTTGAACAAAGTGACTGATACGGACGTTCCCATGAATAAAAGATTTCCATAATCTGAACAACTTCATTAGTTTTTGTGGGCAATGATTGTATGTAATTATCGTTTATTGTACAGCATATATTTACCCCTTACATGTCAAGTACCGTAGAAAGATTCTACAGAACGATTGATGCATCTGCGGTGCAATTCAATATGGCCCTTCATTGTAAACCTTTTCAAAAACCCATTACCATGGTATCTCATCAAATACAGAACATAGCATTTTTATGACTCCAAAACAAACTAATATACGAATACATGTTTGTCTTTCTACATTGCATACTAAATGTTATGCACTAAATACAGTTTGAAAGTAAAGAAAGATAAGTACTAATTGATTCCATCTTTCTCAATAGCTTAATACAGCTATTCCTGCCTTCCAGTGATATGCAATCAGAACTTAATAATGTAATAATTATTGACACAATGTCATGAACATTCAATTTCTTGCTACATACGAGAAACAACCATAACAGTGACAGCTCAGACATGTCTCAGATGACATGAGTGTGAGGTTTAATGAGCACAGAAAACTACTTCCATCTACTTGTAGGTTATTACTTTCTAACCGTTACAACATTTTTTCCCACTCAAATCTAAGCACACTACAAGAATCTTCCAGTTCAAATTCACGAAATGTTTACTGATATGAAGGTACACAGGTCTATTTGAAAGCCTTTTCCAAAATATATAGTGTGAGATGCAAACAGTACAATTGTACATTATTTTATTTTTGATACTTAAATTATTTGTGCTTTCTGTGCCGTGTGCTAGGTGGCACACATATGCTACCTGTACTTTCTGTTCCTGATATACGTAAAAGTGCTTTTAAATTGTTTTCCTTATGATTGCTCTAGTTTACCAGGAAAACGTGTTTCCTTACTAAAAAAATGACCAAAAAAGAACATAAGCCATGATTGTAAGAAAAAAAAATACAACAAGCAGTGTTGCCCAAGGCCATGGCTTATTTAATTATTTGTTATTATCATATAGCCATGTGTTAAACGCAAAAGTCCCTAAGACGAGAAAAAAGGCAGCAAATCTCTTTACTCATTATTTTTTTACAACAACATGAAAAGCGGCCTAAAGGCCTGCATGAATAACGAATGGTTCAAACAAACAAAGCCAGCCACATGGTGTACCTTAGGTTGCTTTTGGTTTCTCACCAAGAAACTGTATACTAGTATCATAGAACCTGTATACTAGTATCATAATGATTGTATCTTGTATATTTTTGTATATTGATTATTACTTTTTCATACTGTAACAAACTAATACATAATGTGTCCTCCTGTATGTTTGGATACTTGAGAATAAATAAAATCATTGAAAGGGTTAATGAAGAAAAATGATATGTATTTAATCATCAGCCAATAATGAACACTTGTAGGAATGATGGATTTCAACTTTTTTAGTACCTTCTAACAATGTCGGTGTGAGCTTGAATTGGCTGCAGAATAATAAATTTCATGGTACGAATTGACTACATCATAAAAAACGTTAATGACCCTCTCTTCTCTCGGTGTTTACGGTGACATAACACTTCGCTCACTCGGTGGTTTGTTCGGTGGCTATAGGTCAGATGTTATGTCACAATAAACAACCTGAGGTGGGTCATTAACCCTTCATTAACACTTCAAGGCGTGTGCTGCAGCTTCTACGACTTACAGTGTGGCGTCCACTTTCTTCACTTGTATCTTCCACCTGTCTTGTTTGGATAGACGATGTCTCGCAAGGAAAGAATGGAGTATTGTCATTTTGGACGCTTGCAGATGAAGGGATAGGAACGGTAGCACTGGTCATCATTCCACCGTCCCTTTTCCACATGGTCTAACAGGAAAAGATGGCCGCCACAGCCGTGGCAACTCTGTCGAAAAAAGAACAAAAACATGAAATTAAGTTTTACATGTCACTTCCAGGTTTGATCAGTTATTATAAACCACTCCTTGATACCTTCGCAAAGAAGGTTATGTTTTCAGAGGCGTTCGTGTATGTGTGTGTGTGTGTGTGTGTGTGTGTGTGTGTTCGTGTGTGTGTGTGTGTGTGTGTGTGTGTGTGTGTGTGTAAACACAATAAATTGAGAAGGCTTAAATGGATTGTTTTGATACTTGGTACGTGGGTAGGTCTTGATAAGACCTCAAAATGATTAGATTTTGGACCCCCTGGCCGTTTGTTATGGTACTGCAGCTGAATTTCCGGTTTTGATATCTCATGATCTAGACATAATAATTAAACTAATCGTATATATGTGTAGAGCCTTAATTTCTGATTTGCAATCCTCTACTCGACCAAATAGAAATGGGAATTGCAACAAAACATAACGGCATATGATTATCATAATCTAGGAAACCTAGAAATGCAATCTCAGCAAATTTGCGCACGCACCTTTGAGTACATGCCGACGCAGTCCTGCCCCTTGTTTCCTGTTAAGAAGTTGCCATTGTTGTTGGGCTGACCCGGCTCCCAGTTTGTGTAGTCTACCGGTGACCCATCCGTAAACTTGCGGAATCCGTCATTGCGATGCAGTCCAAACCAGACGAGATGAATACCCCACTTCCCTACAGGAGCTGTAATTGAAAGAGATTAATATTGAGCCGGGTTAGCCAGTTAGACATGTTATGTTCCCCCAGTATGTAATAGGGCTTTAAGGTGACAATGCACTTATTCTTTTTCACCTTCCACTTTGACCTGTCCTGTAAACAATCAACGAACAAAGACGGTGGGCGCTATACACTCCCTAGTACGACTTTCTGACGTCACGTGTCCGAAAGGTCACGTGACCTAAGCGGTTGGGCACCTGAATTTTGAGAACAAATTGTTGCAGTAGGACAGTCGTCTTTTGTGCTGTTTGTGAGATCTACCTTGAAACATTCTGGTGTGATAAGGAGCTTTGTTGTATTACCCACCGTCAGTGATGATAGTGTTGATGAAGTTGGCCTCGTCACGGCTTGTGATAGAAGCCAGATTTGCACCGAGTCGTTCACATCGTTTCTTTGCTTCTTCCCATTCAGCTTTTCCTTTCATCAACTTGTAGCAGTGGTTCTTATAT